GGTCACAAAGAAAGTGCGCCAGTGGATCTCCCTGAATACATAAAGGGGGAGGGGGGGGGGGGGGGCGCGCCAGAGCCCCCCCCCCCCCCCCCCCCTTGCGCCGGAAAGGGGGCCAGGGAGGGGGGCTTCTCTCGCTTCTCTTTTCTGCGCCAGAGAAGGTGTGCAGGGGGTGCGGAGATGGGAGTGGGGAGTAGGGAGTGGTGAGTAGTGAGTAGTGAGTTAGTGCGTAGTGAGTAGTGAGTATTGGGTAGTGAGTAGTGGGTAGTGAGTGGCGAGTAGGGAGTAGGGAGTAGGCAGTGGGGGGTAGTGAATAGTGAGTAGTGTGTACTGATAAGTGAGTAGTGAGTGGCGAATAGTGAGTTGTGAGTAGTGTGCAGCGGGTAGTGAGTAGTGAGTACTCAGTAGGGAGTAGGGAGTAATGAGTAGTGGATACTGAGTAGTGGGTTGTGAGTAGTGGGTGGTGAGTAGTGATCAGTGAGTAGTGAATAGTGGGTAGTGCGTAGTGCGTAGTGAGTAGTGAGTAGTGAGTAGTGAGTAGTGAGTAGTGAGCAGTGAGTAGTGAGCAGTGAGTAGTGAGTAGTGAGTACAGAGTAACGAGTAGTGAGTAGTGAGTAGAGAGTAGTCAGTAGTGAGTAGTGAGTGGTGATTCGTGGGTAACGACTAGGGAGTAGCGAGTAGTGAGTAGCGAGTAGGGAGTAGGGAGTAGGGAGTAGTCAGCAGTGAGTAGTAAGAAGTGGGTAGCGAATAGTGGGTAGTGAGTAGCGATTTGTGAGTAGCGAATAGTGGGTAGTGACTAGTGGCTAGTGACCTGCGACTAGTGACTAGAGACTATGTAATGACTAGTGAGTAGGGAGTAGGGAGTAGTGAGTAGTGGGTAGCGGGGAGTGAGTAGTGAGTATTGCTTAGCGAGTATGGGAGTAGCGAGTAGTGAGTACTGAGTATTGTGTAGTCAGTATTGTCTGGTGAGTAGCGAGTAGCGAGTAGTGGATAGTGAGTAGTGATTTGTGGGCAATGAGTAGTGAGTAGTGGATTAGTGGGTACTGGGTAATGAGTAGTGAGTACTGCGTAGTGAGTAGGGAGTAGTGAGTAGTGCTTAGTGAGTAGTGAGTATTGAGTAGTGGGTAGTGAGGAGTGAGTAGTGAGTAGTGAGTAGGGAGGAGGGAGTGGTGAGTAAGGAGTAGTGAGTAGCGAGTAGTGGGTGGTGGGTAGTGAGTAGTGGATAGTGAGTAGTGAGTCCTGAGTAGTGAGTAGGGGGTAGTGAGAAGTGAGTAGCGAACAGCGAGTAGCCAGTAGTGGGTAGTGAGTAATGAGTAGTGAGTTCTCTTTTGGGCTGGGGTTGGTGGTTGGGGTTAGGGTTAGGGTTTTGGGTTAGGGTGGGGACTCGGGGTAGGGGTGGCGGGGGTCGGGTTCCGGAGTGAGGGGGCGGCGTGGCGAAAGGGGGGAGGGGGGGGGGGTTGCGGCCAAAGGGGGGGGAGGGGGAGAGGGGGTCGGACCCCCCCCACCTCTTTTGAAAGGGGGGGGGTCCCCGACGACGGATCGAGGAAAAGGGGGGAGGGGGGGGGGTGTTTCCCCGACGACGGATCGGGGAAGGGGAGGGGCGGGGGGTCCCCGACGACGGATCGGGGAAGGGGAGGGGGGTTCCCCCCCCCCTTGGGGAGATCCAGCGGCGCACCTTCGGTAACGAAACCACTCACGCCTTAAGGGCTGGTGGGATTTTAGCCCCTTCCTCTGGGACCGTCAAAACCGCCTCTTGGGGCCCTCTGGGGCCCCTGTTGGTCGCTTCTTGGAGCCCTCTTGGGGCGTCTTGGGTTTCTCTTGCCTGTCCCGGGAGCCTCTTGAAGCATCTTGGCTGCCTCTGGGGGGGAAGAGGCCCTTGAGGCTTCTTGAGGGCCTCTTTGAGACTGCTTGGAAGTCTTTGGAAGTCTCTTGGGGGTTTTCTGGGAGCCTCTTGGGCGCCTCTTGGGGCCCTCTTGGAAACCTAAGGGGCCCTCTTGGGACCCTGAAAGGAAGAGAAGGAGAAACAAGTGGAGAGCCCAGAGAAGGATGATAAAGTAGAGAGCCGCGTCAGCTGTCATATCAGTTCTTCTGCCCCAAAGCAAAGGAAGGCGCTGGCGCACAAACACTTTTTGTTTCACGCGACTTAGAATACCGCCCACCGTCCCTGGCAAGTGAACTTTGCATTTTTCGTTGAAGCTGATGGTAGGCCTGCACACCGCAGACAATATGCCGGCCTTCCGCCGCCGTTGTCCAACACCAATGCCAGGTGATCGCGGGGCGCCCGCGCATGATCCAGACTTTGATGCAACATGCATTTCGTACTGATTTTTTGCATGGGATGGTTGGGGGTGCTGCCATTCACACAGCAGGCAATCTGCTGGCCTTCCGCCGTCTCTTTCCAACGCAAAGCTATCGCGGAGGGTCCGCGCATGATCTAGATTTTGGTTCAGGGTGCACTTGGCATTTTTGGGGGCAAGGGATGGTGGGGGTGTGTTGGCATTGCACACAGTGGGCAATATGCCGGCCCCAAACACGAATGTGAAGGAATCGCGGGGCGTCCGCGCATAGTGCACCTTGCACACTTTTTCACAGGGATGGCGGGGGGTCCCGCATGGTTCCAGTGTTGTCGCGGGTCGAGCGGGGGAGGGGGTGTATATTGATAAGGGACACTGATGGACCCCTCCCCCGAGCATGGAAAGGAGGGTTTTTGGAAGAGGGAGGAAAGCACATCGTTACACCACCTTCGCCCAGCGGGCTGATGGGATGTACCAGCATCAAAAACGAGCGTTTCGCTGGAGACGTCCTGCAACACTGGGGATGTCGTCAGCCGCTCCTGCAGGGGGCTGTGTGCCTCGGGAGCGTGCTGGCGAAGCCAGTGGAGTTGCGGGCTGTGAGTGGTCCGCATTTTTTTGCAGTAATGATTCGTCGGCTTCGTAGGGTCAGCCTCCTCTGGGTACAGTGCCGTTTTTAATACATGCTCCGTTTGCGGATCATGTACAACAAATGCAGGGATTTAGTATTAAAAGCAACGATGAGTTCATGCATACATTTATTCATAAACAAGTCATGGATTGAACATCCTATGTATTAAATACTGCCCTGCACAACCTCGGGCGGAGCTTTAAGTCGTCGCAGCGCCTCGGTTTGGAACAGTTGCATTCAGCGTTTCGCTTGAATCTGGAACCCTCGGTCTGGAAAGGATAGGGAAACAATCGCTGGGTCCCTGGATCCGCAGTGCAACGATGTTCATAACACCTGAGGCTCCCGGAGACGTTGACGTAGTCTATTCTGTGAATCGTTCTTTCCTTCAAACATGGGGTTCCCGTTGCAGACGTCCTCAGAAATGAGACGTCCACGCCAGTACGGCAGATCAGCGATTCATACCGACAAGGAAGACAAGCATGGCAGGCCACGGCATTATGGCAGACCAGCACGGCACGCACGGCGCAGCACGGCAGACCACAGGAGCACAGCAGACCAACACGGCAGACCAAAGAAGCACGGCAAACAAACACGGCAGAAGACGGCAGCACGGCAGACCAGCACTACAGCATTACGGTAGACCACATGAGGAAAGCACATAAGCATGGTAGACCACAGGAGTATGGCAGGCCACGGCAGATCAAAGTACAGAAAACCAGCACGACAGACCACCGGAGCACGGCAGACCAGTACGGCAGACCACAGAAGCACGGCAGACTAGCACGACAGAACACGAGAGGTCGGCTGACCAGCACCACATACTTCAGCAGCGCCGCAGACCTTGCGCGGACGCACACGCACATACTCTACGCACGCACACGTACGCGCAAATCCACGCACGCCACGACAGACCTGCACGGCAGACCATCACGACGGATCATATATCATATTTCCCAAGCCCAGCGGGCAAAAGCGACGTTTCCCGTTCCCATCCGGTCAGGTTGCATTAGCGCCTATGCTACTGCTTCTCGAGTTCTTCACGGGATACGAGTTTACAATGATGGACGGCGTATCGTTTTCAAAATGTGGCTCTCGCGCTAGTGCCACGCACAGTCGTTCTTCGTTGATTTTCTAACAGCTGGAAAATGGACGGCAGTGGGTGATGAAAGTGTGTGGTTCTCGCCTCGACTCCGCGCGCATTCGTTTTATAAGTTACAACCAGCTGCGAGGATTGAAGGCGGACGATTTTCAACATGTGGCTCCTCAAATTATTGCGTCGCATTGGTATCTTACAACATTGGGCTTTTCAATTACGATCAGCAACGCGTCACATTCTTGCAGCGTTTCAGGCTTGGTATCCAGATCATATCCAGAAGCGTAACATCGTGCAACTGATACACGGATGGAAGGAGGCTTTTTTTCAACATTGCCTCTCGTATCCGTATGATCCTGCATATTCATGTTCCTTGTAGCTATGAGATTGGAAGGCAGTTCCTTTTCAACATTGTGTTCTCCAATGTAGGCCCATGGGGCGCTCGTCTTTCAGGAGAGCGCTCCCCGTACAGATGAGGAACGATGGAGCGCCCCTATTTTAAGAAGGCGTGTCCCGTAACGAGAAGGAATGCGTATTTGGGACTGTAGGCTGGGCTGCATCGTCGTTGTTGTTCCTTGGGTTTACTCTGGCCCTTCTCCTGCTTCCTCTTCTCTCCTCTTCTCCCTCCTCCTCCGTCCTCATCCAGCCACACGCACGAGCCATATCATCAGCTATAGTGCTGGAATCCGTTCGTGTCGGGGGCGCAGGCTTGCGTGGCAGGCTGGCGCTAATCTGGGACCCAGTGCCATGAGCTAAATTTCAGAGGACAGCACTCCTCTACAACTGGGTTGGGAAAGGCTTCTCGCAGCAGAGGTGCACTACTGCGCGGCTGTATCCATGGATGCCCCCCGTGCGCAAAGTACAGATAGTACACGAAAAGTCCTCATCCAGCCGAGCCTCGCCCCCCGCGAAACCAGCCGCTTCGGCTCGAGGCGCGCAACCTCTTTCGTGCCGCGTGCGGCGGCGCTGCACCCAGGGGAGACAGCCAATGGCGGGGTCCAGTAGACGGCCGCGCCGCGGCACCGTCGCCATCGCGGCCGTGGCAAGCTTGCTCACGGTAGTTGCCAGAAGACGCCAGCTCATACACCGATTTTGGCCTGACCAGGGCAGTCTTGCGGCCCGAGGTCGGAGTTGGTAAGATTTCGGTTGCGCACTGACAGCCCCCCCAGGTAGTCCCAGCTCGCTTCAACAGGCCCCCCGAAGAGTCCCAGTTGGTTTCAACAGGCCCCCCAAGTAGTCCAGGGTGGTCTCAAAATCCTGGCGGCGCCTCTGGCGGCGCCTCTGGCGGCGCCTCTGGAGCTCTCCGCGCTCCAGGGTTGAGGTGTTGAGACCGCCCCGGACTACACGGGTACTTGGGGGACCTGTTGAGACCAGCTGGGTCTAATCGGTGGGCCTGCTGAGGCCAGCTGGAACTCCCCGGCGGGCTATCTGTGTGCGCAAGCCGGCCAGTCGGAGTATGCACCTTCCTGGCTACAGGCAGGCCAGGAGGGTGCGTGCACGCAGATCCTGGGCCCTGGACGGGCCTGGGCAGCAAAGACTGGTGCCAGTGTGCAGCTGAATCGTGACATGACCAGGGGGGGTGGGGGGCGGGGCTGGTCAGTGGCGTGATCGCGAAGAAAACACGGTCTCCTGTCGTCGTCCGAGGCTGGGCGGCTGTGGGCCTTCGTGCCTGTCCCGGGGACGGACGTGCAGGCCGCGCAGCGCGCGGGCCGAAGGCCAGCCCTGCTCGGGGCCGCGGTGCTGCCCGCCGTCGACGGAGCCGTAGGGGCGGTCGGCGCCGCGGGGGCGGACTTCGACGTGGAGCTGAAGGTCATTGTTTTTCTTTGGGCTCCGGCCGCAGTGCGGGTTGGAGCTGGCTGGGGGTTTAGTTCCAGCGGCAGGAAGGGGGTGTGTGCGAGGTCCGAGGTCCTGGGTTCGAAAAGGTTTTTGTTTGCTTTTTTCTTCCTCCGGGGGCCGCTTTCGGGCCCCAGGGCCGTCAACAAACGGATCCGGGGGGACAAAGTGTGCCAGATGGATCCCGGCAAGGGCTTGTGGACAGATTTTGAGCGGATTTGGCATCGTCCCCCCCCCCCCCCCAATTCATCGATTTTCTGGGACCCCAACCAGTTCTTGCCCCCCGGCCGCCTCCAAAGTGCGGGCTGTCAGGTTTCACACCCATCCGCAGAAGGAAGGCACCTACACGCTACACGTCACCACCATGCTTGGCCAGAGTCATTCTGGGTCCTAGGACCCAGGATGGTGTATACACCCTGCTGGCTTCGGCTAGGTGGGCGTGGACACCATGCCACGGCCCAAGACGGCCTTGCCCAGGCTGTGTACGTTCTGTGTACCCCTCCTTCGATACCTTGTCGTTGTCAGAGGTCGTTGTCGCAGGTCGGGCGGGCGGTCCCTAGATGTGTGCCCCGTGGCGTATTCTTTGTGTATACGATATGCCGCATATATAATATCCTTAGCACGTGTAACTGCGCGTCCAGCCGCGAACAAGGTCAGGTGATGAACACCCCTGGATAATTTCTGGCTATCCCAAATGACAAAATGACATCCTCAAGGTGAGCCTTGGGGGTGATCAGGGTGGAGAGGCCACGGTCATCGTCAAGGTGCACCCCGAGTGGGCGCCCGTCGGAGCCGCGCAGTTCAAGAAGCTCATCGAGTCGGGCTGGTACGACGACGCTGGCGTGTTCCGTGTCGTCCCAGGTTTCGTTGCGCAGTTTGGTTTGCCCGCGAAGGCGCAACCACGTTTGCCCGAAATCAAGGACGACCCCGTCAAGGTGTCCAACAAGCGAGGCACTCTGGTGTTCGCCACCAGAGGCCCAAACACTCGCACATCCCAGCTATTCATCAATTATAAGGACAACTCGTTCCTCGATCAGCAGGGCTTTTCGCCCATTGGTGAGGTGGTCGGCGATGGCATGCAGGTCGTTGAGAAGTTCTACGCCGGCTACGGGCAGAAGCCGAATCAGGGTGCGATTACCGAGCAGGGCAACCAGTACCTGGACAAAGAGTTCCCCAAGCTCACCAAGATCAGCAAGGCCACTGTCAAAGGCTGAGGCGAGGGGGGCCCTCTCTCGTGGGCGAAAATATATGTATCCGCGGCCTCGCGGGCTGGGCCCCTAAGCCGCGACACCGCGGATGCGGGGAGCTCTTTCGCGGATGCCCCGCGCGGAACATATCCGTGAGACGGCGTATCCGCGGGATCGCGCCACCGAGCGCAGACAGCGAGGGCGTTGATGTGGACACGCTCGCCGCTCGTGGCTCTCCGCCTTCGAGGGCGCCCTCACGCGCGGCCCACTGGGCCTCGGCTCGGCCCGAGTCTCGCTGCGTGCAGCCACTCGCGGGCCTCTTGCCCTTGGCGCGTGCCGCCTGCGCGGCCGCCACCGGTCGGTGCCCAGGCGGGCAGCCCGCGCCCCAGGAGGCCCCGGGGGAGCGAGCCAGCCGCCCCTCCTCCCCCCTGAAGCCGGGCGGGGTTCCGAGATGGCCCAGCATTGGGTCTGACCAGCAGGGAGGGGGGCGAGGCTCGAGGTTCTGGCTCGAAAAGGTTTTCATACACACATATATATATATACACATACATGTAAATATGTTCGCGATCCTTTCTCTTTTCCTCTTCCTCTTCCATATGAAGACCCACTCAGGTAACCACAGGCGAACCCTACCCCAGCAGGCCAGAATTTTGAAAAAGCTGGCTGGGGTTGAACATTCTAAGGATATCTCTGCAGCCAACTGAATCCCAGCTGGGGTGTCCGATAATTGCCCCAGCGCCGAATGAACCCGTACGGGTAGGGCTCGCAAGTGAGATATTCGGACTCACTCATGCTCAGCCTCACTCATATTCCTTCGCCAGGGCCGCGCTGAGGCGCGCCCGCCGCCGCCGATGGTGACGATGGCGACGGCGATGGCGATAGGAAGACTGCGGCGGCGATGGCGGCGATGATGATGATGGGGCTTGGGGCCGCAGCTCCCGCGCGCGGCTTCGCGCGGAGGGGGCGCCGACGGGGCGGGGGGAGGTGAGGAGAATGCAGATGTGTTTGTGTGGTTTTGATAGGTGGCCAGCATGCGACCGCGTTGCCGAACCAGTAGTACATTCGCCAAACGTTTAGCTAAGTGGGTTGTAAGTAGTATAGCTAGCGCACTTAGTGCACGGTTAGTACATCGTTTCTAGGCGGTTGCTAGAGACAGCTAACCACTTAGCTAAGTGCGCAGTAAGTCCTAGCTAACCGCTACTAGAGGGTGGACTTACAGAGCTAACCGCTACTAGAGACTTAGCAACGTTAGCAGCCACATCTGTATGGCTAGTATCTCTTATTTAACATAAAGTACTAGTTAGCTTGCTTATAACCTACCTGGAATACTTATAACCTACTTGCAACGTACTTACACCCTATTTAGTAACACAGCTAAGCCCATAGCAACCCCATTAAACCTTTCGCAACCACCGCGGCCATCTAAGTGGGGCCTGCGCTGCGATGGCGCCGGCGAGCCCAACCTCGGCGGCCCCGTCGACGGGCTGCAGACGCGCCGAGGTCGCAGCTGCGGCGGCGGCCGCGCGCGCCGTCGGCGACCCCATCTCGCATCCGACAACAAGTGCGTCGTTCGTTCCGGCGCCCAAGTCCCGGCCGGCGCGGACGCGCGGGAGCGATGGCACGCCGACAGGGCCCGCTGGGCCCCCGCGCGCCTGGCGCCGGCGGAGGCGCGCGAGCGCGGGCTGAGCGAGCGGGGCCGCCTCGGCAACGCAGCGGCCGACGGCAAGGCTGGGGCAGCCGCCGCGCAGCGGACCCCGCCACCCGCAGCTGCGACAGCGCGCCGTCGGGAGCTCGAGCACCTTCAGAGGCCGCGCAGCGGGTGCTCGCAGCCGCGCATCAGGCTGCCCTGGCGGCGTCGCCACCCGCCGCCCGCCGCCCGCTGCCGGCCGCGCGACTGGCGCAGCGCGCGCTGCGGGGCGCGGGCTCGCGCGGTTTCCGCGCCGGGCGCCGCCTGCTGGGCGCGCGCCCCTGCCAGCGCCGCGGCCGCGGCGCTGCGGTCGAGACTATCCCGTCCGCCCAGGCACCTTGCTCGCCGCCTTCTTCGCTGCGCGGTCGTGGTTACCGCGCGCCCTCGCGCGGTGGCCCGGCGAGGTCGCCTGTCTCTGGCGCGGCGCCAGCGCCGCGACGCCGGCGGAGATGCTCTGGAGTGCGTGCCCAGGGGGGAACGAACAGCTGCCCGCGCGCGGGCAGGCGACGTTTCTTTCTCGGCAGATTGCGCGTCGCTGTGGGCAGCGGGGCAGACTTCGCATGCATCGCGGCGAAGCGCTTCGCGGAGCTCCCAGACTGACCCGGGCTTCGCCGGGCGCCCGCGGCTGCTCGCCACGCCTGTCCACGTTCGCCAAAAGAAAGCCAGCTACGCGCGGGCGCCCCTCAACGGCCGCGGTCTCCGCGTCCTCCATGGCGAAGACGGCGAAGGCGTGAGACATCTGCCAGCAGACGGCGGGACCGGGGCGGCCCCGCGCGAGCTCGGACCTACATCCGCTTCGCGTCGGTCGCCAGGGCGGGGCTCGAAGAAGCGCGCGGGCGCGAGGCGCGCCGCGCCTGCGCCAAGCACAGCGACCTGCGGCGGCGAAACAAAACACAAATAACAACAACAAACTGGCGATCATACCAGGCCTTGAGGGGGGGAGGGGGCTGGTCACGTCGCGATTCGCGCCAGCGCCGTTTGGGAATTCTAAAGGTATGGCTCGCTCCCAGGCGGCGCCAGCGCGAATCGTGACGTGACCAGGGGGTGGGGAGGGGCAGGCGGGGCCAGTCACGGGCACCATCGCGAAGAGTCGAGAAACGAGCCCGAGAACGGATCGTCACTGCCAATGGCGCTCGGGCGGGCGCCCCCGATCGCGACGCGATCACGGTCACATTCTACGCGTTGCCTGCGGCCGTCAACTATGTGCCAGAACACCCTGGGACGACGACGAAGAAGCGACAGGCGACACCGGAAAACGCCAATCGCGACCCACGGCGGCCGCCGATGGCGACGACGCTCTGTTCGAGCCACCCGATCGAAAAAGTCGGGCCCTCCCCCGGGGAGCGGGGAAGGCCAGAGGCCTGCACCCCCGGCGGGAGCCCCCAGCGCGCCCCCTCGTGCCGGGGACGTCCGAAGGGGGGGGTGATGACTTGGGAGCGTGGATCTCATGGCCAGCGCCCGTGCCGACTGCGAAACTGTTTCGACGAAGCCACCGACGGTGGCCAGTCCATCAATGGTAACTTCTCTTCAGGCAGGCGCATTTTCGCGGCTATTTAAACTCTTCCGCCATGGGCAGCCGAACTGAGGAGGACAAACGTGCGCTGCGGCTCGCTCGCGGAGGAGGAGATGGAGCAGTAGGAGGCAAAAGGGGAGGTAGAGAAGGAGGGGGAGGGTGGAGGTGGACGAGGTACAGGAGGATAGCCAGAAGGAGGAGGAGGAGGAAGAGGAGGAGGAGGAGGAGGAGGAGGAGGAGGATAACTACACGTATGAGAACGAATTTCCAGAGAAAGACAAGCTGGTGGAGCCGAGTGATGAGGAGCAGAAGGAGGAGGGTTACGAGGAGCAGGAGGCTCAGGACGGGAGGTGGGCGGGTGGTTAGGTCGTGTTTTTTTTGGGGGGGAATCCCCATTGTGCACTACATCTCTCCGCTCCGCCTCCGGTCCCATCGTCGACGATGCTCGTTTGATGTTGCACCGTACGCAATTTGGCCCGAAGAGCCCTTAGGGCCTAGGGGTCGAAACGAGTAGCCTCTTTTTCCTTCCCGCTTGAGATCCGATCCCAAACAGAGGATGATGGTCAGAAGGAGCAGCGACAGGACCAGCAGCAGGAGCTGGAGCAGCACGCACAGGCTCGGGGAGCGGACGCAGAAGGGCGGGAGCGGGTGGCCGCTCTCTGTCTGCCTCCCCCCCTGAGGACGCGGCGGGCGCCACGGAGCGACGTGGACAGGACGGCACCCGCTTCCTGGCCGCCGCTCCCCGCCTCGAGCCCCCTTCCCGCCGTCTACCTCGTTCCCTGTAAGCCTGTTCCCACCACCTGCCCTCCCTTCCCCCTCCCCCTCCGTCAACCTCCTCCTCGTCAGGGTCCGCCCTCCCTCCTCCTCCTCCTCCTCCTCCTCCTCCTCCTCCTCCTCCTCCTTCTCCTTCTCCTTCTCCTCCTCCTCCTCCTCCTCTCGAGCGTCGAGTGGAACGACGACTTACCCGTTCACCACGGCGGAGGAGATGGCTGCTGTGGTGGCTCCTGCTTTGGCTGGCCGCCCTGAACCTACTTGGCGGCGGCTTTGACGGATTGTGCGGCGTGTTACGCCGGCATGGTGTGGAACTGGCCGGAACTATGCCACCTCTTCCCTCATCTTCGTCTGCTTCTGCATCTTCCAATTTTTCTCTTCCTATGTCGTCTGCGTGTCCGTCTGCAGTGATGGGAGTGCCTCGCCTGAGGCTGATGAGCTGGAATGCCCAGGCACTTCTACAATGGCGGGGGGCGCGTAGTCGTGTTAAGCTCCGCTACCTCGAACAGCTTCGGCCAGAAGGTGCTCTGCTTGCTCTGCAAGAGGTGCATCAAGACCAGCTGCAATTACAAGACTTTATTAATAGGGGGGTGCCCAATTTGACGGTCCACCTGTCTGCATGTGAGGGCCCTCTTGGTGCCACCCGTGGCGGCGTCGCAACCGTGGTGCCTTCATGGTCCACTCCACTTCATATTGATAAGCTGGTTCCAGGTCGTGCTCTTCGCGTCGTAATGCGAAGCCCGATGGGCGCCAGGATCTTCCACTACAACGTCCACGACCACAAGCTGAACGCTGCACAGGTTCTGCTGATCTGCTCGTCGATCGACGCCGACGTTGTGGAGGCGAACCAGATGCCCGACAGGCATGCGGTGTTTGTCATGGGTGACCTAAATTTTTCGGAGCACTACAAGTTGCTCCTTCGGGCACCGGCTGCCGCCTCACGGCAGCACGTGGCGTCCGCGCCGCGCTGGCTGGCGACGTTGGATCGCTTGTTGGAGCTCGACTCCACTGAACCCACACATTACTCACGTGATAGTGACACGCTCCCGTGCATCG